ACCATGCACCATGAAACTGCTACTAATACTTCTACTAACGCTACTTCTCAATTTAGCAAAATCAGCACAATCAAGAATCATTTGGTTACCATATTCAGCTGCAACGACCATTGCTCAAGTCCCAGTTGCTCTTGCCTTCCGGCTCATCTTTCGCATTCATCAAACGAACATGCACAGCGATACTACTATTTATACTACTTAAATGCTACTTCTAATACTAAAAGTAATAGTTCCAATATAATTACGTGTCAAATGGCGATCAAATTTACCCGACGTGACCATCATTGCCCTCGCTTTTACTCTGAACAACTTGATCCATACAATTGTGGCTCTAAAGTCTCTACTCGATCCCACCAAATTCCACTCCATTCCACCGGCTTCCACTGGATTGGTGCGAAATGCACTTGAATGCTTTGCAGCTGGTTGGTGACCGAGTTTTTCGCGTCATGACGACAGTTATGAGGGCCATTAAGTGCGAAAGTCTAATAACTAGACATTGTGGGAAAAAGAGAGTGTTTGAGAGAGTGAATGCTGTGTTGAATAGTATTTTTTCTGTGCCATTGTACTTGTATACGCTACTTATTTCCGATATAAGTAAGCGTCTTGATTAGGGCAAAATAACATTGAGTTACAGCTGCTCAACTCGCAGCACTGACAGGCCCGCAGCGAATAGCAGCCACTTGCAACGAACAACTCATCCCGAACGTCAGAAAGTCTTCATACGACTCGTCATCTTTCATCCAGAGCTGGAAGATATTTCGTGAAACCCATATCTTTTGCAGACAGACGCCATCTTCTTCATGGAAACATTCTCGGTGTCGGCGGCCACCGCCCAAATAGGCAGATCCGGCCACATGCAAAATCCGGTCTCCGCCAATCTCGCATTCTTAAGGTACCATCCACGCGGACGTCAAATCACCTCTGCCTTCTACCAACCATGGCAACTAGGCTGATGTCAGCTGTTCTTCGACCGGATCCAAGGCGACGATGTACGGCGTCTGGGCGCAGGTTGCGGCGGCTCAGGCGGCTTTTGGGCTCGAGCGCCGCTCGAGCTCGAGTCCGTCCGGCCGAGTTGTCTCAGACGTTGAAGCCGCTGACACTTTTCTACCGCTCCACTCGGTGGCCGACGGCGCGACGACATCTCGGCCCGTCTTCAACGCAACCGAACGAGGTCTCGTGGACAACACAGGCCGAGTTTGAGTCGAAGGGATTCGGGGCCGAGGCTTCAATCCGTACGGCTGGTTACGACCAGCCTCGAGGACAAATCGTCTCATCTTCTTGCCGCTACTCATCAACATCTGCCCAACTCATGCCTGGCCTCCCCCACTCGGCCATGCAGCATGATACTTCTACTACTTCTACTAATGCTATTTTTTAATCCGCCAATCGAACATGAACCTAAACACTACTATTAGCACTACTACTATAGCTAAAAGTAGTAGCATCAACACTATCTTGAGGCATACTCTAATCAACTCTTTCTGCAGTGGTTTTTGCTCAATTTCCAGCTACAATTTATTCACTACTCATCTTTCACATCCACCAATTTAGCATGAACTCAAACACTAATATTACCAATATTAAGGATACTACTTTTACTAAAATAAGTAGTAGTATCAGTACAATCAGGAGCCACATGGTGACGACCGCCGGCATCATTTTTGGCATACTTTTTCTGTTGCGCCTCTGCTGGAACACAGACACGCTACTAACAACACCTTAAGTGACAGCGAGCCGTCAAAAGTGAGGAGGGTTCGCAGAAATGTTCTCACAATGCCTCGCAATTCCTGCAAACATGTCAGTTCTCAGCACGGCATCGAAATGATACGGTTTAAGATGGCTCTGCAACACCTATCAGCGCCGAGCATTGAAGCCTGCTTCCAGTGAAGAGAAGAATTTTATCGTCACCTGGGCAACTATTGCTTCCATTCGAAATGTCCAGACTTCAGCATCAGTTTCAATATCTCCTCCTCATCAACTATGTTGAAATTCACTCGTTTACGTCATTTCTAATCACTGGAGCAGGTATCAGAATCTATTATTTCCTCGTCTTTAGGACCTTTCTACAAAACCAGCTAAATGTATTTTCATAATCTGAGAATATTAGATGCTCATGGAATTTACAAGATTCAAATTTCACAAAAAAACTATTGTGTG